CTACTTAATTGGTTCAATATCAATATATCTATTTTATTATTATAATGTATTTATCTTTATATTTTTATTATATATATTATTATATTTTCTACTTTATATTTATCATTATCGAAATTTATTAGTTTTAACCGTCTTTTCAATCATAATTAATATATAAAATAGGAATAAAATTTATTTTAAAATATTAATTTCTTTATCTCAAAATATTATAAAAATAAATCATTCTTTTAAATAATAAATTTTAATCTAACTTCCAACTACAATTTGACAAAACACACTCTTAAATAATTTTCAAGAGAATATTTAGTGCATAAAAAGCTAAGGCGTTGTTTGGATGTTACAGCAAACCCCAAAAGCAAGACATTGTGGTGGAAAAATTTTTGGAAGAGCTAATGGCCGAATCGTGGGCATGGCGGAAAGTCGGGCAGAAGTCCATCAAAGGATCTCCTCATCAAAGGTCGTAAAAAACAAAGAAAATTAGCACAAATTTTTATGACGGAAGAAGTATATTACATGAAACCTTAAATCGTCATTTGTTGTTTTAAATAAACGTTCAGGATATACTTCCGTTGCATTGCTTACAGGGGTTGTGCTGCCAAACGGAAAGTGGAACAACATGCAACGGAGGCAGACAAATTCGTCGTCACCTATTACGGTGAACACGCTCATCTTATTCCCTACCTTGGCCACTGGAGGGGCGGCATGGCTAGCGGGGAGCGTAAGGGCACTGGACCTCTATATTATTTTAGTTTTATATTTTTATTATATAGTATTTATAAAAATTAACTAATTTAAATAATTTTGTCCACTCCTATAAATTTAATAAATATATTATTATTGCATGTATTTTATTCAAACACCAAAAAAAATGATTCAAATACTTCAAATATATAAAAATATCTAAAAAAACATACAGCAAAAGAAAAACTAACTAAAAAGTTGTTTGTAAATACTAGTGGGCTATTTGTGGCTTAAAATCAACCCTATTTTTTTTTTATAATTTAAAATTTATATGAGACAAAGTTAATATATATAATAATATATATTATTAATGTGTATTTTTGTATATAATATTAAATAGATTTGTAATACTCCTACACAATAATTAGATAGATTTATCTAGAATCCTCGAAAAATCTACCAATAACAAACTTAAACAAAAAAAAAAAATAGAATCATAACTATTGTTGTCGAGATAACATTGAATAAATTATATTAATTAAAGCCAAATTTTTTAAGTTTTATAAATTCTTTTATATATGTATTTTTTAATTTATTATAATACTAATAATTATTTATAAAATTATAGAGGATAAATACATATCATAATATATGTTAATTATTATATAAATTTTATTAGATAAATTTTAATGCAACATATTAAATACAAATAAATAAGATATTTCCTCTGTTCCACTTACTATGTGCACCTTTTCATATTTATGTCCCACTTATTCTGTTATTTTTTTTTTAAAAAATATTATATATTTTAATGTTATTTTAAAAATTTTAATTTAAATATTTTTTAATTTTAATTATAGTAATTAGTTATCTTCATCTTAATTTAAAATTATTTTTATTAAATAATTTATTTTACTAATATACTCTTAATTATTTACTAATTATTTAGAGTAAATAAGACACGATACCTGGGATGAACGAAATATATATTTATGCCGAAAGGAGCCTCACACCATATAAAAAATATATATATATTTACTTATACTATTTATTAATAATACTTTATTTTTTCTCGCTAAAAATATTAAATTATATATTTATTTATATTTAAATATAAGGTTTTATTCAAAATTAAGCATTACGATAAATATATATATATTTATATTATATTAACTAAAACTTTAATTTAAAATTTACTACCAAAACGCCAAAATAATGTTTGTTTAAAGAATTTTGGAGAATTTTTACTATTTATAAAAAAATGTTTAGAAAAATATCAAATACTTATTTTTTTATATTATATTAAAAATTAATTATGTATTCAAAATATCATATCAATATTTATTTATATTATATCATAAAACTATTTTAATTTAAATTTTTTAAAATCCTAAACCCATACTAACACACCCTAACTAAACTCTATGGTGTGTTTGGTTTGTATTTTAAATATTTATCAGCATTATTAGTCTATATAAGTTTTATATAAAGATATACTTTCTCAGTCTAGCTACAATATTTTTTTTTAATAGTTTCATTTATGGTGATACCTTTTTATTTTTAATAAATTTATTTATCTTAAACTCACTTATCAAATATAAATCAATTTAATTAAATTTTTAATTTTCTACCCTTATCATCCACTTAAAACTTTATTATTTATATACTTCTTTAATAAATAAATATTTTTATTTATATTTAGAACTTCTCGTTTTTTCATAAATCAGTTTTAAGTTAATTATAAAAAAATCAATATATTTTTTTATTTATTTGTATCATATAAATTTATTATCTGCAAAATGATACTCATATTATATATAGTTGGACACGAGATTTAAAAATATTGATATTATATTGATAGTTGGTAAAAAATATGAATAAAATATTCTTTTGCCCTTGTGAGTGTATTAGTGTAAAAAGTAATGACATTTGTGTAATAATAATGAAAATATAGGGATAATTTGATGGTGAGATGAGTATTTATGTAAATGAGATTATTATTTTAGGACGGACAAAAATAATAAACAAGACTATTGTATTGAAACGGGGGAGTATATACTAACTTTCTCCCTAACCCTAATTCTAAATCATATCGGTTAAGATTTTATTCATATAAAAAATTGTTATTATTTTAATAAACTTTTCGAAATAATTACTCCAAATTTTCCTCGATTAGGCCGATTATATTAATTATTAGTTTAATAATTTAATTGGATGTTATATATATATATGCATATAATATTGTATTTAATGATATATAGAAATATATCTAATTTAATACTCTTTCCGTCTACACACAAAATAAATATTTATTTTTGATGCGATATTTAAAAAATAATAGTATTTTAATTATAGTGGGTAAATAAAAGTAGTAAAATGACATCTTTGCTCTTGTTTTTTTGTGTAAAAATAATAATGTGATGTAAAGTAAGGATATTTATGGAAAAAAGTGAGGTATTTAATGAAATATTTATTTTGTAATTGGACGTTTCAAAATAAAAATATGTATGCTTTCTAGCCGGACGAACAGAGTGTATTTTTATAACTAATATTAGATAGATTTTGTAAGATAACTTTTAATAGTATACCGTACTTATTTTAATATATATATATAAGAATTTCCGTACTTATTTTAATATATATATATATATATAAGAATTACGATTACATAATATTAATATTTGTTTATTTTGCAAATTTTTTGGACAATTGTTATAAAAATACAGAAATATAGATATGCTTCTTCATATATTAGTGGTGTATCATTAATTTTGTGGGCTGGATAACATTACCTACATTTAGGGTGTATTTGTATGTTGGATATATGTATTTTTTTATATTTAATATTTAAAAAATTATATTAATAATATAAAAAATAATACTTTATATTAAATATAATTTTTTTAAAATTAATAAAATATATATTATATTGTTTTGGTAATATTTATAGGGACTAATGAAAAGATATAGGTAAACACTAGGAGTGGCAAAACTAAGCCCAATCCGGCGCGAAAGAATTGTGATTGGATCTCCAAAAAAGTCTCAACAATTTTTGGGCCGTGTCTGACCCAACACGTTAATGAACCGGGTCGTGTCTGATTCAATCCGATTTTTTAAAAATAATATTTAAATATTAATATATTTATATATATGTTTGGTTACGTTTAATTCTCCACTTGTGATCTTTCACATTTTATCATTATACTCTTCCACCCAACAAAATATTATATTTTTTATTTTTTTAATATTATGTGTGTATATATATATTTATATTTTTATTAGGGTTTTATGAAGATATAATATTTTATTTGGACATACTACTACAAATACATCTATTTATTTATAATAATTAATTTTATTTATATTTAAATATATTACTAGTGATATTTTAAATTAATTATTAATTTAAATTTATTTGATTGGTGTATTAATTTTGTATTTTTATCCGTAATATAAAAAACAATATTTTATATTAAATTATTGTATTTTAAATGTATAAATTATATATTATATACTTTGTATAAATCTATATATTATATTTTTTAATATTAATCGAAAATCGTATTAAATTTTTTTATTAGAACACATGCAATTTGGTAAAAAAGATACATATAGTTCAAAAAAATAGATATATGTAAAGCTTAATTTATCACAATAAAATTTTTTAAAATTAATCGAAAACTGTATTAAAATATATTATTAGAACACACTCAATTTGGTAAAAAAGATAAATATAGTTCAAAAAAATAGATGTACTTAAAGTCTAATTTATCACAATAATTTTTCTTAACATTAATCGAAAATTGCATTAAAATATTTTATTAGAACACGCTCAATTTGGTAAAAAAAATAAATATAGTTCAAAAAAATAGATATAATTTGGTAAAAAGAATAAATATAGTTCAAAAAAATAGATATATGTAAAGTTTAATTTATCACAATAAATAAAATTCGAGGATAATTATGATATTTAAAATATAAAAATCTAAATTTTTTAATTAATCTGCAAAACAAACTAGATTTGACAAATATAAATCCAAACATATGATATGATACGATTTCAAAATCCTAAATACAATACGTAAAATCCTAATAACATAAATAAAGTCCCCATGAACAAAAGATTATATTTATATATATATATTGGGATATGATTTAGATATTATATTCTACATATGATTTGGATATTATTGGCATAACTTATCTATAAATATCTATGCGCCTCCGTACTTTATAGTAAAATTTCTAAGTTGACAGTTCTTGTCTTTTTTTGTCTCTTCTTGATTTCCTAAAATTTAAGTAACAATATATATAGTAGAATGGAATCAGTTTCACTCGATATTCTAGAACTCATCTTGGCACGACTTCCCGTCAAGTCTCTCCTTCGTTTCAAAAGCGTCTCCGCATCATGGAACGATATCATCTCAGATAAGGACTTTGCCATAGCACATTTCCGTCAATCCAAGAATTCATCGTCATCGTTCTATCAACATATGTTTCTTTTTTTGTCCCGTCCTGAGAAGGCATTCCGTCTCTCCAAATTGGAAGACGATGGATTGAAGCCATTGAGCAATGACCTCGAATACTGCTCGGATCCAGGCTGCCACCTCGAGATAGGGCAATGCTGCGATGGCCTAATACTCGTCTCTTCCAATATTCATGGACACTATTCTATTATCCTCTGGAATCCATCTGCCAGGAAGAATATTAATTTGGGATTCCCTTTTCAGTCTCCGTGTAATTTTGCATATGGCATCACTTTCGATAAAATGTCGAAGGATTACAAAATAGTAGTCGCCGATATGAAGGCAAAGCAATACGCAGTGTTCGACAACATAAGCCATCGTTGGAAAGAATTGAGAAGTATAGTGGAGATAACAATCGAAGATGACATTAAAAACTTCCGTTTGGATGACCATATGATCTGTTTGAGTAAAAGGGTTAAAGATCAAAGAGAATCTGAAACTTATGATATTGAAATGATCTTCTTCGACACAAGGGACGACAAGTTTTATAAATTTCGTTACAACACAGGGGCGAGCGTTGAAAATACATATTGTCTTGTCGATTGTTCGCCCAGCCAATTTTGCATGATCATTGGTGATATTGACAGTGATACATGCCGTGTTATGGTGAAGAAAACCGATAAAGAATGGATGGAATTTGATGGCCTGCGGATTCCGTGGGTGATGTTGTGCGAATGGCGTTGCAAGATGTACCTGAACGACAATGGTAGCGAGCTAATAGTTATTTCTCACGGACATTTTATAGTCTATAATTTGATCGAAGGAAAGAGTAGTATGATTTTGAAGCCGGACGATTCAATTGGTGAATATCCTTTGCTCGGATATTCGGATAATCTCTTCTTCAGCGGCTTCTAGCTAAAATAGGTTTTTGTTTTTGTTTTTACTTGTACTGTTTTGTTAGCTTGGCTAATTTGATTCGATTTATTCATCTATATATTCTGTTGGGAAGAAAATGATCCGATTTTTTTTTTTTTTTGGTAATTTTTATGTATTGTGATATGATAACTTACCATGAATTGAATATTAGATTGATTGATTGGTTTGGAGCAAGTTGAAAATTAATTAAGGTGCTGTTATGTTCTTTTTTATGATTGCTGAAATTAACTTGGAATATGATTTACTTAATAATATCAACTACTTAGTTACTGTTTGATGTAAAATTGCAATACAATCTGATTGAGTTGAACGCCATTTGACTTTTGGTTCAATTACGGTTATGCAAGCGACTCTATATATTATATTTGTATTATATTAATTTAAATTCATGTCTGTACATTTTTAGTACCTCACTTTTACTCATGGGGAAAAAACTAAGAGTTTGTTTCTTTTATCAAAAATCCTATGTCTTTACTGGAGCTAGCAAAAATTGATCCGACTCGACAACGTATACGGGTTGACACGAATCCGACACGATAGTAAACGGGTCAGGTTAGGGTTGAAGCTCAACTCGAACCCGACACTACAACCTGATTATAATATATTAATATTAATTAATATATTTATTATATATGTAAAATAATCATAATTTAATAATTTTCTCGTAAATTAATTTAAACTAAGTTCAATTAAAAATAATTCAACCTAATTTAGGCTCAAACCAATAAAAACTAACATAACAAAAAATTATTTAATTTGAATTATGTATACGAGTCAACCCGAACCTGACACGATAATAAACGGGTCAACATGAACCCAACACGATCATAAACGGGTCAGGTTAGGATTGAGTAATTTAACTCGTTTAAAGGGTTCAACCCGACACGAATCGACCTATTGTCGGCTCTAGTTTTTATTATTTGGACTCTGCAGTTTTTCGAGAAAAAATACACTATTTTCTCACACAAAACATCACATCATACATTATTTTAATATCAAACTTAAACCAAAATTTTTCCCAACCCATGAAAAAAAAAACATACCCTAACTCTTTTGAATCGAGTCACCAAATTGTATCTCTTTTTATGTGTACTTTTCTACCTTGATTTTCTCAATTTCGCAACAGACAACATACAAGGGCCACATGATGCTAACAATTCATACATATGCCTGAAATCAAATATGGCAAAAGCTGTATTCCGGATTTATTCGGATTTGAGGCAGCCTGGTGCTGAAGGAAGCATCGTTTTATAGCGCCTTTGCTCGAGAATTTTCACCCCAATCCTTTGGCTATCCGTCAAATTGGTTTAATTTCCGGGAACAAGCCGGCCAAGAGCTAATCGAGCATTCATTTATCCCTTTTTGTATCATTACAAGCAGGGGCAGTACTCTTCTCCTACAAAAGGGACCAAACTATAGAAAACCAATACCTCGGGACACACTATTTCACTCGATCCAAGATCGCAATGTCTATAACAGTAATGACAAGGTCTACCAGATGAAAACTTGAAAATAGGGTCCTCGCTCGCAGCTGGACCAGAACATTATCCCTTAAAACGTACCTGCATTTTGAAGATTTCCATCAGTCGCACAAAGGGGTAGAGATTCGAGTACCAAGCTAAGGGTGCTCGCAATGGAATACAGCCTGCGCCTGCGTTTTGCATAAAAAAAATATGATGACTAACAATTAACAGTGTTAAAATAGAGCTAACTAAGGACTTGATAGAACAAGAACAAATCCGTAGTCATTATTGTTCATAATTCAGCTCTACAATTAATACTTCTCTTGTTATGTCAATCAAGGCTATATACAATATAATATGATGAAATTAATGTTCTACGCGCTGAGGAACAAAGGATCTTAGATCAAGAAAACGCTGCGAAAGCTGGATGGGGTCATCAGATACACAACTACACTACACTATGTGTTCCATACATACAAGTTAGTGAAAAATGTCCGAACAGCAGGTCATGAAACATCTGCGACTTGGATCCCTTCATTAGGCCTTTACCTTAAACACAAGTACACTATTACGTCTTAACTCTGCTACGCTGCTAGCTAAGGCAATTTCATTTTATGATTTCCCCGTAAATTCTAACAACCAACCATTGAAATAAAGTCATAGAAGAAACTAGCTACTTAGGCACAAAACGATCATTTCAATTCAAAGTAATAATAATATGCATTCCAGCATGTTCTCATACTACGCTATCAAATTACCCGCACAAATCAATCAACCTTCCTAGCCAAAGCATACATCAAGTATGAGCAGACCCAGTGAACAATGTCCATGAAAAAAACACTATCTGCCGTATAATCATAAATAGACATAATGAAATCCTTGCGGGGCAGCCAAAGAACACAGATATAATTGTGCACCAAATACAAGTAATTTCTTATACCCACTGTGCTGTACAATCATAACAAAAATTGCTATACCACGCTGTTCAATAATCAAAAATTGCCGATAATGGCTACAATCCGAAGAAAGTGGTTCTTCAAAACAACATACCAACACCACGGCTATAGATCCATTAATCCAAATAACCTATAAACTCATTGAGACAAAAATACAGAACTGTATCAACTTTCATAATGCCCAATGTGAAGCTGTGCGAACAAAAACCTTTCAAACCTTATCCTCAATTTCTTCACGCTTAATGTGTTGTTTGGACAATAAAATGAAAACCCCTGCCAGAGAACACAAATGTTATCGATCCCGAAAAATATGATTCACAAAATCAGAATGAAGAAGAACAATATTCATTTATCACCAAAACCGCACAAAAACAAAACAATATCACAATAAAGAATATACATACAACCTCGTCAGAATGCATAGTGGGAAGGCGGCGCCCTGGAAGCCATGCTAGCAACCTGAGCCTGCATTTGGATGGCCCTAACTTTGGATGCCGTGGCACGATGGAAAAACTGCTCTCGTGCCAAAAGCCGCACATTCCTCAAGTACTGATCGAATGGCACTGCTCCTTCCTGCACAGCCTTGTCCAAAGCATATATGGTATCCTCCACTGCCAAATCCGACGCCGTGCAATCCAACATTTGCTTGGACAGAGCATCACAGGGCTCAAAGCATTCGTCAATGTCGATGTTGCTGACATCGTTACCCCCCAATTTCGATTCGTTTTCCCTTATCCATCCCTCCAGAACATCGCTGTTCATCAAAACCATTTGCAGCTGCTGCTCGAGTGCTTCCTTCTCATCCTGCATTTCCTTCAATCCTTTGGTTAAATCCTCCTCGCGTTTTCTCAGCACTGCCTGCGTCGCGAAGAGCCCTTCCATTTCCCCTCCCTAGTCTTCCTCATGTTCTTAATATCACCATTCAAACTCTCCACGAGCTTATTCATGGCGTTTTTTTTATAAACCTCAGCCGGATCGTCCATTACTCTACCACTTCCATACGGCGGCGGTGGGGTCGGGGAAGGGGGGTAGTCTCTCGGGGGGATTGCCGGCCGCGCCGGAGTCGATCCAACGGAAGAATTGGCATTGGCATTCCCGTAGTTTTGATTCAAATTAGGGTTTGACGGGTTACGCTGGGAATACAGGGGCGGATCGCGGGCGAAGAAATGGCTCAAATTCCTGGCCAATTCGACCAAATTGGAGGCCGGGAAGACCCACGAATGAAGGTAAGGAACGGAGACGACGCCGTTGGGGGAGACGAAGGGGTGGGGGCGCTTGATGATCATGTCGCGGGTTGGATTGACGAAGACGAGGGGGGCGTGGCGGGGGTAGGACTCCATGAGCCAGATGATGACGGGGATATTGTATGTGACGCCTTGGAAAGTCATGGGGACGGTGCCGTCGGCCTGTAGGAGGTTGACTGTGCGGCCATCGTTGTGGGTGAAGACGGCGGTCTTGGGTTGCAGGGAAGGGTAGGCTTCGGTGAGGTACAACAAGTGTTGCCGGATGTGCCACTTCATGTCCTCATAGAACTCCTCGTTTTTTATAAATCAGTTTTAATATAATTATAAATAAATCAATATATTTTTTATTTATTTGTATCATATAAATTTATTATCTGCAAAATGATACTCATATTATATATAGTTGGACACGAGATTTAAAAATATTGATATTATATTGATAGTTGGTAAAAAATATGAATAAAATATTCTTTTGCCCTTGTGAGTGTATTAGTGTAAAAAGTAATGACATTTGTGTAATAATAATGAAAATATAGGGATAATTTGATGGTGAGATGAGTATTTATGTAAATGAGATTATTATTTTCGGACGGACAAAAATAATAAACAACACTATTATATTGAAACGGGGGAGTATATACTATCTTTCTCCCTAACCCTAATTCTAAATCATATCGGTTAAGATTTTATTCATATAAAAAATTGTTATTATTTTAATAAACTTTTCGAAATAATTACTCCAAATTTTCCTCGATTAGGTTAATTATTAGTTTAATAATTTAATTGGATGTTATATATATATATATGCATATAATATTGTATTTAATGATATATAGAAATATATCTAATTTAATACTCTTTCCGTCTACACACAAAATAAATATTTACTTTTGATGCGATATTTAAAAAATAATATTATTTTAATTATAGTGGGTAAATAAAAGTAGTAAAATGACATCTTTGCTCTTGTTTTTTTGTGTAAAAATAATAATGTGATGTAAAGTAAGGGTATTTATGAAAAAAAGTGAGGTATTTAATGAAATATTTATTTTGTAATTGGACGTTTCAAAATAAAAATATGTATGCTTTCTACCTGGACGAATAGAGTGTATTTTTATAACTAATATTAGATAGATTTTGTACGATAACTTTTAATAGTATACCGTACTTATTTTAATATATATATATATATAAGAATTTCCGTACTTATTTTAATATATATATATATATAAGAATTACGAATACATAATATTAATATTTGTTTATTTTGCAAATTTTTTGGACAATTGTTATAAAAATACAGAAATATAGATATG